GGATTGGCCCCCTTCACCAAAAAAAAAAAAAAAATCTTTGTTTTGCAAACCATTTTCAAGTAAATTTTCAATTTAATAAAAAATGTCTTTGTAATAAAAATAAATAATTTTCTTATAGCCTTATAGTCGATACATTTGGGGGAAAGTTACACCAAATTATATTTTACAAGCTAAACTTTAAAATTTAATCAACTGATATTTAATAATAATTTATTGTTTTAAGGGACTTATTGACCTTGACACAGTCATGAGGGTCTGCAGGGGGTATCTCTATGATATAATTTCCTGTTTTATGTGTTTTTCTGCATGGTGATTGGACCACATGACTTTTGATTTTGCAGACAAATGCTTTTCAAATATTATAAGCACAATAATACTTTTGTTATTTTTAATAAATAAATAATATTAAGCTGAAATTTCTATAAAAGGTTTTCTTTTAATTCTGATATCAAAAGTTTACCTCAAAAAGCAAAATTAATTTAAAATCAGACTTTAATGACATTATCATCATAAAGATGTATTTAAGTAATTGAGTATGTATGAACTGCATTTTATGCATTTTTAAATAGAATAATAGATTAAAATCATTGAGAAACCCATACTTACTCTCATTTTGGCTGTAGTCTTTCAACAGTGCAGATCGTCTCAAAAATGAGTTATACATGTAGTCACTTATACCCTTTATGTAATCTGAATCAATCACATCATCCTCTTTCGTCGTATTCCCTTTTGGAAAATAAGTCTCTGAATTATAGTATCCAACTGTAATGTCATCCAGAGTTGTTGTGCAACTAAATTTAGGAAATTGTGTTTCTCCTTGAATATAAGTTGAAAGCAACGACAAAAAGTGAGAACCTGAAACACAAATAGATTTTTTATTTTTATTATGAACAAATACTTTATATCTATTTCTACCATACGAGACAGTAGCCTACACCTATAGGTTACAAGAAATCTTTTGAACTGTATCCAGTATTTATTTTTGATTTAAACCCTAAGTCTTGAAATCTTGGCAATTTAGGGTTAGGGTTAGCATTAAATAGCATAGGGTTAGCACTTTCATTTAGCATGAAAGTTATATGAGTGACGCGCTATTGAGGTCAGAGAGGACATGATATGTGACAATCTTCATTAATCTTGAATTTAATTCATTGAACAGGATTAGGTTTTAAAATTCGAACATGTAAAAACAAACTACTTGCCATATGACGCAGATGGAAGTGAAAGTACAAGTAAAAAGACAAGGACAGGAGATCCTCTCCATTTGCACTGCATGCTTTTAGTCTTAAAATGTGTTGCAAAAATGTACCTGCACATTTTTAAACGGGTGTCTATCAACATATTACAGGCTAGAGCAGTGTCTCTCACACTGTCTTGTTTCGTTTTGGTTGATGCAATAGGACACTGGTGGGTGTGGCCACACCTTAAAGGAGCACTGCCTTCTGGTGAAAGGTAGAAAACCCTTCGAGATAGGATTTTGCTCACTAAATAGAAACAAATATTACTGGGCCAGTTCCTGCTTTGTTTGTTACTACAGTTAACAGGGAATAAAATGCAAAGAATAACATTTTTAAAAAATTGTTAGTTTTCTTGTAAGCTTTTTAAATATTGCTGGCCCACTTTGGCTGAATGTGTGAGAAGGGTCTGGCTGCAGCCTGGCACTTGCACTCTCAGACGTGCATTCTCAGACGTGCATTCTCAGACACTTGCGCTTCCGCTAGCTACGTCACTTGCAGGCTTCATTTTTTATTTTGTTCTATTTTTTATTACTTTTTGTTTGAATCTCTCAACATTTTACAACAGTAGCCAGGTGGTGAAGACAAGAAAAAAGAAACTAAATTACAATGTCACTTGCAATCGCCACTTGCACTCTCCGCTACCTGCGACGTCACTTGCAATCGACACAAATCGTGCGTGTTGCCAATGGAGACAAGACGCTGTGGTGGTGATTAAACAATTAAAACTAATTTAGTACTATAACATACAGGGTCCTGCAAGAAAAAGACAAGACCCGCAAATCCGTGGCCACAGAACAGCAGAATATGAACGCA